GGGCGAGCGGCGCTGCCCGCAGTCGGGGGCGCAGGCCGGCAGGCAGCGGCAGCATGGCGCGGAGCTCCGCTCGCGCGGCAACGCGCACTTCCTGGCGCCCGGCGGTGCGCACTTCCGGGCGCCGGGCACTGCGGGGCCGGGAAGGTAAGGGACCGGAGAGGGCTGAGGCGGGGCCCGGAGCGGCCGCGGGCGCCGGGGAAGGTCCAAGGGCCCTGGGCGAGCGGGGGTGGGGAGCAGAGGGACCCGCCGCAGGCGTCTCCCGCTCCCAGCAGGGCCCTTGCCGCAGCTGATCACTGGGGGCCGTGTCCGGGCGAGTCGAGGCATCCGCCGCCGCTCGGGGCCCGGTCCCAGAGTTGCCCCGCTTGTTCCCGGCCTGTTCCGGCCGGGGTTTCCCATGGTGCAGCTTGTACCGGTGCCTCTGGGGTTCTCGTTCCAAGCAGAGTCCGGCCCCGCAGCCTCTGGGGCCCGTTTGGGCGGGAGGAGACGCTTTTGGGTCTGGCTGAGTACGAGCAGCTCCCCCAGCCTCTCCTCTTGCAAGAAGGAGGGGGAACTACTGGAGGGAGTCCAGCGCGGGGCTACAAAGATGATCAAGGGACTGGAGCAGCTCTCTTATGAGGAAACGCTGAGAGACCTGGGTCTGCTCAGCCTGGAGAAGAGAAGGCTGTGAGGGGGCCTTATCGATGTTTATCAGTATTTATAGGGCGGGTATCTATTTTTGCAGAAATCCCTTCCAGCCTAAATGATTCAATGATTTTGCAAACAAAAATATGTTCATATGCTTGATATTCTGCATCTGTACATGGTGTCACATTAAACTCTGTACTTGCATGATGACTCAACCAGACTCCTAATTCTGCACCCATCATTTAAGTAGCTTTGCAGAATTTGGTGATTCGCCATTAATAAAATGGGCAGTAGAATATAAAGACCCCTAAACTTGGAAAAACTGCTTTTGAGTAACTTCATCAGCAGTGGTACAGGCAGGCTGCTGAAGCCAGTGGTTTCAGCTGTGTCTGCAGTCTGTCAGTGCACGAACCATCACTTCTTACAACAACTCAGTAACTTTTCCACCATCAGTGTGATTTTGAGATTGAAAAACCTTCTGCTGGCTCACCTCTGTTTAAGGTAGGGTTTGTACCAGTATAGTTAAATCACACACGATAACACATATCTCTTTTTTGCTTACTTTCTCCCCTTACATATATTTCTTTATTCCAGTCCAATATTTTAGCATGCTCTCAAGCCTCATAATGTAGTCAAGAAATGGTGTTTGTGTGGAGATATTTTCATTTGCAGCGGTAAACCAATAATTTACTGCCTTTGTGTCTGCATCCCATGCAGCTTGTAGCCTCAGGTAGGAAGGAGTATGAGCGAGTTCCGCATTCACCACGATGTTAATGAGTTGCTCAGCCTGCTGCGCGTTCACAGCGGGGAAGGAGCTGAAGTCTACATTGATCTTCTGCAGAAAAATCGAACGCCTTATGTTACCACGACTGTCTCTGCTCACAGTGCAAAGGTAAGTGTTGACATATTGTAATCACAGCTGAGGTGCGTTTTAGACCTTATGGGGGGAGCAGCAGGACTCTGAGGCTGTGTGCTTCCTTTGGAGTTGAAGATAGGTGTTCTGTCGGCGCACAGTCCTTCCTAAGGAGAAATTCCAGATAAATATTCCTCAGCGTTATTTCTCTTGGGCAGTGATGTGAACTACCTTTTCCTAACTCTGCTCTTCTGTGAGATAACTTGACTTCTGTAGGTACAGAGCTGGACACATACTGGGAGGGGGAATGGCTGTTTTTTCTGAGAATAACAGTGAAATCGTGTGGGAATTGGTAAAAAAAAAATGGGGTAATCTTATTAGGAATCTTGATTTTGGGTATAAAGTAGAAAGATTATATCAAGAAAAAGGTAAAAATCCTTATATCTTGGAGAGATTTTTCAAAGAACATGAGAAGGATTTTTAGAACGGGATGGGGGAAGTTTAAAGGAGCTTATTTTGTGCTTGTGATGGTTGTTTCAAATTTTAACTTCCTCTGGAGGAATAAAACAAATGAAAAATAGTAACTGTTTGAAATGTGATTACATGAACAATACCTGAGTTTTTTTCTGAGTATCACCCAGGTATTGGGGATTAAAGCCTGATATTCTCATGACCGGACATACTTCTCTGGCCATACTGCTGTTCATTGTCATTTTTAAAAGCAAGTCATCAGTCAAGCTATAAGTTCTAGAAAATTGCTAACTCTGTCTGAAAATTCAGATCTTTGTAGCCTGAACTGTATGTTTTCACTAATTCCAGTCTTAAGCATCATTTACATTGATAGCTACAGTTCATAGACTTGTAGAAAGATGTAAGTAGAAAGCACAGCTGGAGACCTGCAGTCCAACACCTTGTCTGCAGGAGGGTAAACATCACAGCTACAGCAGACTGCTTAGCTGCATTTTGAAGATCTCCAGGAGATTCTTCCATTACTCTGGCTATGGCCCAGGTCACCTCTCTCTCCAGAAGACTGCTTCCAGTTGTGGGCCAGCTAGGATTTTCCATGTCATGATTTGTGGCAGTGCCTGTGATGCTTTTGCTGTGCCCCTCAGAGCACGGTCTGTAGCCCTTTTGGGCAATGGGCAGCACGCCCCAACATCTCCATGACTCAGTCCAGTTTGCTGATGTCTCTCTTGCTAGTCGGGCCCCCGTAGTGGACCCAGTGTCCAGATGTGGCTTCATCAAAGCCAAATCCCTTAATCCTGCTGATACAAAATTATACTGCTTCAGACTGAGCATGCAAAGCGAGTCCTGCTACAGATCTTGTGCTTACCTTCGTCCGTTCTCTCCTGCGGTCCCTTTTCCATCACCTGAAGTGCTAGGACCTCGGCTCTCCTCCAGTATTTGTTAGTAGGAGACCAATGCTGCAGCATTCAGTCCAAAACTCATTTCCTGAGGTACTTTGGCAGCAGCAGCAGCCTGCACCTTGTCTCCATCTTTGCATAAATCTCCTCTTTTGAATGCTTTGATAATAGTGTACATGACAGTGGGACATTCTTTGATGATTATGGCCTGTTAGAGAGGGATGGGTTCCACCTGACTGGAAGGGGCAAGGGAATATTTGACAGCAGGCTGGCCAACATGGTGAAGTGGGCTTTAAACTGAAGGACTTGGGGGGTGGGGTGCAGGATGGCAACACTCAAGCCAACTTAGCCAACTGGGAAATAAGCCAGGCCAACCACAGCAGTGACAGATGTTCCTTAGCTAACTCCCAAGATGAGATCCAGAAGGCCAACCAGTTGAGGGGTGTGAATGGCTTTGGTGGCTCCTCTTGCTCCCCTCCAGGGAAACCCTCACGCTCGACTGCCTCTCTGGAATTCCTGTGCACCACCACCTGCAGCACGGGGCATAAACAGGAAGAACTAGAGATCTGAGTGCGGTCGCAGGGCCATGATCTCACTGCAATTACAGAGACATGGTGGGGTAGCTCGCATGACTGGAATGCTGTCATGGATGGCTACCTACTTTTTTGGAAAGACAGGCCAGCAGGGCATGGTGGTTCTATGTGCAAGAGCAACGGGAATGTAGTGAGCTCTGCCTAAGGGTGGACAAAGAATGTGTTGAGAGCTTGTGGGTAAGAATTAAGGGGCAGGCAATATGAGTGACACTGTGGGTGTTTACTACAGACCACCAGAACAGTAAGAGGAAGTCGATGAGGCCTGCTACAGACGGCTAGAAATAGCCTCACAGTCACAGCCCCTGGTTCTCATGGGGGACTTCAGCTACTCTGACATTTGCTGGAAAGACAACACAGTCAGGAACGCACAGTCCCTGAGATTTCTGCAGAGTGTTGATACTGACTTCTTGACACAGGGGGTGGAGGAGCCAACAAGGACAGGTGCTTTACTGGACCTTTTCCTGACAAATTAAAAGCTCTGGTTGAGGATGTGAAGGTCGGGGTAGCCTTGGCTGCAGTGACCATGAGATGGTGAAGTTCAGGATCCTGCATGGAAGAAGTAGGACAAAAAGTAGAACTACAGCCCTGAACTTCAGGAGGGTTGACTTTGGCCTCTTCGAGGAATCCCATGGGCTAAGGCTCTAGAAGGAAGGCGGGTGCAAGAGACCTGGTTAGTATTTAAGCACCACTTCCACCAACCTCCAAGTTCAAGATCGGTGCATCCCTAGGAGCAAGAAATCAGGCAAAGGAGGCAGGAAACCTCATGGATGAACAGGGACCCTGATGTGGCCAGACTCTTCTCAGTGGTGCCTGGTGATAGGACAAGGGCTAACGGACACAAACTGCAACATAGGAAGTTCCGACTCAACATGAGGAAAAACTTCCCATGAGGGTGGCAGAGCCCTGGAAGGGGCTGCCCAGGGAGGTGGTGGAGTCTCCTTCTCTGGGGTCATTCAAAACCCGCCTGGATGCATTCTTGTGCAACCTGCAGTGGGTGACCCTGCTTTGGCAGGGGGTTGGACTAGATGATCTCAGAAGGTCCCTTCCAACCCCTACTATTCTGTGACTCTGTGTGATTCTGTGATTAGACATTTAATATTAATGTGGTGTTTTACAGGTGAAAATAGCAGAGTTTTCACGAACTCCTGAAGATTTTTTAAAGAAGTATGATGAGCTGAAGTCTAAAAATACAAGACATCTAGATTCTTTAGTTTATCTACTATCAAAACTCACAGAAGACAAAGAGGTTTGTTTATCCTTTAGAACTGTATGTGTTACAAGTATTCAGCAGTAGCAACAATGCAATGATTTCAAGTACAACAAGCTTTCTAGTGACAATGTTCAGCGAAATGCATTGAAACCAACAGATAGCCAATTCTAGCATTTTCTTAATTGTTAAAGCACTACTGAGAATTACAGTCCTTGATATAAACCACTAAGACATGGGAAACTGGGACAGAAAGACCCGTGGTCTGATTCAGCAGAGCTGTCTTATGATCATACATTCTTTATTTTGCTTTAGTGTGTGCTATTCAGCATTCACAAAATCTTTTTTTTTTTGTGAATGTACAGACACTCCAGTATTTGCAACAAAATGCGAAAGAAAGGGCAGAACTTGCAGGAACTGCAGCAACCAGTGGCAGCACAAATTTTTCCATTCCCTCGTCTACTTCCAAGATATCTCTACAGGAGCTCGAGGAGCTACGCAAGCAGCTGGGCAGTGTCACAGCCAACTCCAGTGTACAGGTACTGTCTTCCCAGGGCACAAAATCTTTCCTTTCTGCTTGTGGGTGTAGCTCTGTTCTTAACTTTTATCATCTAGTGGAGTTATAAATGTTCCTTTCTATGCAGATAGTCTAAATTCTCTCTCAGCATTTTCTAGTCAGATTATATTAAATCTTTGTGCTATTCTTAATAATAGTGGCTTTTTTTCTCTTTAAGTCAGTTAAGGTAAGTCCGATTTAGGCCATGACAATTCTAACTGGTGGGGGTTAATGTAATTTCATTTTACCATTTCAAGCAACCACCTGAAGCTGTGCTGACGTTTCCGTTTCTGTCTGTGGCAGTGCTTGCTCAGGAGCTCAGCAGCCATTGTAGTGTGTCCCCATCCTTGCTAGTTCTGCTCTCTCAGATACTGTGAGTACAGTGCCTCACACAATCATTTGCCACACACATTTTTCACACAGCCCTTAGCTATTTGAGCTCCTGAAATAAATGCTGCAAAGTGACCCCCAAAGACAAAAAAGAAAAAAAAAAACCTGCCATAGAAGTAAACTGTATCATTGCAAGACACAGGCTTAGAAAACAGTTAAGCAAGTGTCTGATTATCAGTATGCTGGGAGGTAGGAAATGCAAAAGAGCGATTAGTACTTAAATCCAAAATTTCGTGTCCTGTAATCATTTGTATGGTGATGCTTCTTGTTTGTTGTGCGGGTGTCTATTTTTGTCAGTTAGGTTGACGGTTGGACAAGATGATCTTTGAGGTCCCTTCCAACCTAGAAGATTCTGTGATTCTGTATAAATAACTAAATTGTGATGGGTTGACCTTCGCTAGCCACTCTATTACTCTCCGTGCTCAACAGGACAGGGAGGAATACAATATGACAAAAAACCTTGTGGGTCAAGATAAGGGCATTTTGGCTGCAGAAGGCAGAGGAGCAGCTGTGTATGGATATTTATTTGGACAGAGGTGAAAGGGTGCTGAGTGGGGAGAAGAAGGAAAGATGCTCAGAGGTCTGTAGCAAGTGAGCAACTGAACAATATGTGCAAATGCATCCATTTAAAATTTTGCAGCTTACCTTTATCCCAGAGGTTTGTTTCTGTTCTGCCTTCTGATGACTGGTCAATAAAATCTAACAGGGGACAAGCCTCCAGGCTCTGAATGCAACTCTTTCTGAGGATGCTGCCTGCTTGTGTATGCTCGGAAATCCCACACTAGGGTTGTCTCTATCTGCAGTCTATGTTGTGGCAGTCCCACACCCTCACTCAGCGGAGGCATATCTGTGTCTTGTTAGTGCACAGCATCTGTCTGCATTGGCGAGGTGTGTGCTTCACTCAGCTGTCCTGGCCACATGGCAGCATGCACTTTCATGATGTGTCAGGGAATCGCAGAATCACAGAATGATATGGGGTTGGAAGGGACCTCTGGAGATCATCTAGTCCAACCTCCTTCCAGAGCAGGTCCACCTAGAACAGATTGCCCAGGAACATGTCCAGGCAGGTTTGTCCTTCCAGCCTTTGCTGTTGAGTTCTCTAGCTGTGGCCGTATATGGTTTATTGCCTATGCTGGAGTCTCAGCGGATGTGCTTTTACTCTTCAGTCTGTGAAGATCTTTCTGTGGCAGTGGCTGAGCAGAGCTAACACCTTCCAGGCAACACCCTTCTGTGGAGATGATTGCAGTAGATCTGCAGCCAACTTTGGAAAGTTTGCTGTGATGGTCAGATCACTTCAGGCCATCAATGGCTAGAGGAATGGACCCTCCATGTTCAGTGTTTTGGGACATGTGCAGGTTTTTTCAGCTTGAAGGGCTATACATGCATGTGGTGATGAAATGTTCACATCCTAAACAGAGAGAGTCCAACACTCTCCCCCTTTCAGGCAATGATGAAACCAGCCTTGTTCCCTGTACCCTGTGAAATACATGTCTGCACAGACTGCCTGACTTATGCAAAACCTTCACAGATTATCTGAGTCAAGTGCTTGATTTAGATCACAAAGGGAAGACGAATTTCCACTAAAATAACTGATCTTTCTAATAGGATTTATGTGCAGACTTGCTAAAAGAGGAAAGAAGAGTAAGTGGTGTTCCCTGGGATGTGCAGCTCACAACCAAAGGAATTAAAAGGGTAATGCAAGCCAAATAAAAAGATTTGTGCATCCCTGCTGCTCCATTTATACTTTCTTCAGATTTAAAGAGCTGAAACTCTGATAAAAGGCCCTAACAGGCAGGTGCCTGGGGCCTTTGTCAGTAGAGCTGTATCAGCTTACACAGCTGAAATCTCTTGACCCAGAGTTTCTTCTAGAGCCACTTCCCAAGAGGACTGTCAAGTAGACATAATAATTGCAATTGATTTGTTTCTCCATCTCTTTTCTAGAAGGCAGATTGTGCCCTGGAGTGATTCTTACATGGACACAAGGGTCTTACTTGAGCAACTGTACTTGTGATGCTTGTGGCACCATCTTCATTCACCAGGCATGGAGATAGCTGCCAGAGTTTCCACAGATTCGTTGCAGCACTGGTGGGAGGAACTGCTGGGGTTGCCCAGTCCAGCCCCACTCTCACAGCAGAAAAGTCACCCACACTAGATTAGGACAGCTGTCATCTTGTGCATCTGAGTCCTGCAGCCTACAAGGAGGGAGATACCCTGCCTTTGTGCTGACCCTCTGTGGCTGCTCCCCCTCTGCAGGAAGAAGTGTCTCTTTCTGCCCAGTCTCAATATCCCAAGAGGCCACTTGTGTCAATGGCTGTCTGAACCTCCTGCCAATGCTGAGAGGAGCTTGACTTCACCCGTCAGCTTGGTACATGTCCTTCCTGTAGTTGCAGGCTGCTCTTAGACCTTCTGTTGACCAGACCCAGCAAAGTCCAGCCGCCTCCACTGCTCCTCCTTGGTTATGTGCTCTAGGTCCAGTGTATGCCCACTGCTGCCCATCTTCCCTCACACCAGGCCTGTAGTGCAGGAGTGGTTGGCATTCATTAAGCACCAAGGTGAGCTCTTCTTCTGTCTCAATGGATGTGGAAGATGCCAGATGTAGGTTCATCAGCATGATACTGGCAAAATGCCTCCTTGCCCCATGGGCTTCTAAGTGCCAGGCTGACACCTGATGGCCACCTTTTTGGTCCTGGGAGTTTTATCCAGGCTGTCATTGAAGGCTGAAATGACAACAATCTAAATTTTAAGTTGCAGAGAGAAGGTGATTCATGCCCCTGAGACATGTGCTTTGTCACTGGTGCCACAAGTGCTGTGCCGCCTACTGTGTGATTACTTGGCACTATCAGAGAGATCATCCAGTGATCTTTCAGTGATTGGAGTTGCTGCTTGGATCAGTTTTGGCCCAAGAATTATTGAGATGGTAAAACTTAACGTGTTCCCTTTCATGTAGTTATGCCCTTTATAGGGCCATGAAGATGATCAGGGAGCTGGAGCACCTCTCCTAAGAGGACAGGCTGAGAGAGTTGGGGTTGTTCAGCCTGAAGAAGAGAAGGCTTCGGAGAGACCTTAGAGCAGCAGCCTTCCAATATGTAAAGGGGGCCTACAAGAGAGATGGGGAGGGACTCTTTATCAGGGAGTGGAGTGGTAGGATAAGGGGTAACAGTTTAAACTGAAAGACAGTAAATTTAGACTAGATACTCTAGTATACACAGTAAGAAATTCCTTACTGGGAGGGTGGTGAGACCCTGGCCCAGGTTGCCCAGAGAATCTGTGGCTGCCCCATCCCTGGAGGGGTTCAAGGCCAGGCTGGTTGGGGCTTGGAGCAACCTGGTCTAGTGGGAGGTGTGGAGGCCCAGGGCAGGAGGGTTGGAACTTGATGATCTTTAAGGTCCCTTCCAACACGAACCATTCTACGTTTCTGTGATTCTATGATTTATAGCCTAAATATGTCAACTTTTTTGAATTCTGCCAGTTAACAAATTCACACTAGAGCTGCTTGAACTCCAACAGAAGCTCCCTACCTCTTGCCATCCCAGAGAATCGCTAATGAAGAAGAACCTGTCCCTCAATGAAGAAAATTCTGCATTTGCTTCAGGGGTTCTCTCTGCTCCTTTTCATGATCACTCTAAGAAGCAGGCCTCAGTCCCTGCCTTTTTATTAGGAACAGATGCCACAGCCCACACCCTTTCTCCAGGCATACCCCAGCACATAGGTGATGAACTCACAGGGATGGAGGTACTAGTACGCTCCCTCATGGTGCCATGAGCTCATCATATTTCAGGGACTTCCCTCAGGCGCTGGGAGCTATTGTGCTTATTCATGTATAGTATGGAAGTAGGGAATTTTACAGTATTTTCCAGGGCCCAAGAAGGAAAAGGAGACTACTAGATGGAAAAGGAATTGGCTGGATGGCTGCATCCAAAGAGTTACAGTGAGTGTCTCAATGTCCAAGTGGAAACCAATAGCGAGTGGTGTCCCTCAAGGGTCTGTATTGGGACCAGTACTATTTAGAATCATAGAGTCATAGAATTGCCTAGGTTGGAAGGGACCTTAAAGATCATCTAGTCAACTATCAACCTACCACTGACAAAAACCATCACTAAACCATGTCACTGAGCACTATGTCAACCCGTCTTTTAAATACTTCCAGGGATGGTGCCTCAACCCCTTCCTTAGGCAGCCCATTACAAGGCTTAATAACCCTTTCACTGTAAACGTTTTTCCCAGTTTCCAATCTGAACCACCCCTGGCACAACTTGAGGCCATTTCCTCTTGTCCCCTCGCCTGGGACTTGGGAGAAGAGACCAACCCCCAACTGGCTACACCCTCCTTTCAGGGAGTTGGAGAGACCGAGAAGGTTTCCCCTCAGCCTCCTCTTCTCCAGGCTGAACACCCCGAGCTCCCTCAGCCTCTCCTCCCAAGATTTGTTCTCCAGACCCCTCACCAGCTCCATTGCCCTTTTCTGGACCTGATCCAGCCACTCAATGTCTTTTTTGCGGCGAGTGGCCCAGAACTGGACACAGCCCTCGAGGTGGGGCCTCACCAGTGCCCAGGACAGGGGGACGGTCACCTCCAAGACCTACTCACCACACTATTCCTGACACAGGCCAGGATGCTGTTGGCCTTCTTGGCCACCTGGGCACACTGCTGGCTCCTGTTCAGCCCACAGGCCACCAACACCCCCAGGTCCTTTTCTGCCAGGCAGCTCCAGCCACTCTGCCCCCAGCCTGGAGCGCTGCAGGGGCCCCGTTGGTGGGACCCAAGGGCAGGACCCGGCACTTGGCCTTGTTGAACCTCATCCCATTGGCCTCGGCCCATCCAGATCCCTCTGCAAAGCCTTCTTACCCTCCAGCAGGTCAACACTCCCACCCAACTTGGTGTTGCCTGTGAACTGACTGAGGGTGCGCTTGATCCCCTCGTCCAGATCATTGATGAAGATGTTAAAGAGAACCAGCCCCAGTACCGAGCCCTGGCAGACACCACTCATGACCAGCCACCAACTGGATTTGACTCCATTCCCCACCGCTCTCTGGGCCCGGCCTCCAGCCAATTTTTAACCCAATGGAGAGTCCTCCCATCCAAGCCATGAGCAGGCAATTTCTCCAGGAGGATACTGTGGGAGAGTGTATCAAAGGCCTTACTAAAGTCCAGGTAAACAACATCCACAGCCTTTCCCTCACCTACCAAGTGGGTCGCTTTGTCAAGCAGGACCTGCCCCTCCTGAACCCGTGCTGGCTGGGCCTGATCACCTGGGTGTCCTTCATGGGCCACATAATGGCACTCAGGATGGTCTGCTTCATGACCTTCCCAGGCACCGAAGTCAGACTTACAGGTCTGGAGTTCCCTGGTTCATCCTGCCGGGCCTTCTTGTGGATGGGCGTCACGTTTACTAGACACCAGTCGGCTGGGACCTCCCCAGTTTGCCAGGGCTGCTGGTAAATGATGGAAAGTGGCTCAGTGGGCACTTCACCAGCTCCCTCAGTACCCTTGGCTGGATTCCATCTGGGCCCATAGACTTGTTTATATCCAGGTTTTGGAGCAAGTCCCTCACCACCTTCCTTTGGATTGCAGGGGCTTCATTCTGCTCCCCGCCCCTGTCTGCTGGCTCAGGGGTTTGGGTACTCAGGGGACACCCTACTCTACTACTGAAGACTGAGGCAAAGAAGGCATTAAGTACCTCAGCCTTCTCCTCATCCTTTGTCACTCATGTTACCTCCCACATCCAATAAAGGATGGAGATTCTCCCGAGTCCTCCTCTTGTTACTAATGTATTTATAGAAATTCTTTTTATTGTTCTTAACATCCAAAGCCAGGTTAGTTCTAGTTGGGCTTTGGCCCCTTTAATTTTCTCCCTACGTAGCCTTATGAAATCTTTGTAATCTTCCTGAGTGGCCTGCCCCTTCTTCCAAATCTCCTTTTTTCCCTATGTTGTAACCATATCGCCTTGTTCAACCAGGCCGGTCTTTTCCCCCAACAACTTGTTTTTCAGCACCTGGGGACAGCCTGCTCCTGCGCCTTTAAAAACTTCCTTCTTGAAAATTGCCCAGCCTTCTTGGAGACCTTTGCCCTTCAGGGCTGCCTCCCAAGGGACTCTGTCAAGCAGGCTCCTGAAAAGACCAAACTCTGCCCTTCAGAAGTCCATGGTTATTTCATGATCACTGTGCCCAAGATGGCACCGTCACATCCCCCATTAGTCCTTTTCTGTTTACAAACAGCAGAATTCAATGTCTTCATCAATGACACACCTAGGGGGACTGAGGGCATCCTCAGCATGTTTGCAGATGACACCAAGCTGAGTAGTGCAGTCAGTACACTGGAGGGACAGGATGCCATCCAGAGGGGCCTGGATGGGCTGGGAGGAGTGGGCCTGTGTGAACCTCATCAAGTTCAGCAAGGCTAAGTGCAAAGTCCTTCACCTGGGTCGAGGCAATCTGGGACTGGGCGATAGAGAACAACCCTATGGAGAAGAACTTGAGGGTGAAAAAAAAATTGGACATGAGCTAGCAATGTATGCTTGTATCCCAGAAAGCCATGTGTATCCTGGGCTGCATCACAAGAAGCGTGGCCATTTTCTCTGCTCTGGTGAGAGTACTGCACCTGCAGTACTGCGTCCAGGTCTGGGGTCCCCAGTGTAAGAAGGACATGTATCTCCTCCTCCAGAGGAGGCCACAGAAATGATCCGAGGGCTGGAGAACCTCTCCTATGAAGAAAGACTGAGAGAGTTAGGTTTGTTCGCCTGGAGAAGGCTTAGAGGAGACCTTACTGCAGCCTTTTGATATATAAAGGGGGCTTATAAGAAAGAGGGAGTAAAACTTTTACCAGGGCTTGTAGTGGCGGGGCAAGAGACAACAGTTTTCAACAAAGAAAAGGTAGGTTTAGATGGGATGCTGCATTCCTGGAAGTGTTCAAGGTCAGGTTGGACAGGGCTTTGGGCAACCTCATCCAGTGAAAGATGTCCCTGCTCACAACAGGGAAGTTGGACTAGATCATCTTTAGAGGTCCCTTCCAACCAAAACCATTTTATGAATCTATGACCTTGTTTCATTTTGGCAGTTGGAGACAGGAATTATTTCATGTCTCTGGTTCTCCAAGGTCATATAGTCCATCATATGATCCATTATATAGTCCATCTCACTGAACTAGCTCTATTTTATAGTACTGTCTTCCATCTACATGTGCTGTTGAGTTCTTACCTGGCTCTTTTAGGTAAGAGCTCCCATTCTTAGCACAATGCTTCAGGGGCTTTTGGACTTAGATACTTTCTTAGTCTGCTCTCTCATAAGTATGCATGGTTCATGGAGATGTTGTGATGGTGAGGTTCGTGGTTTGTGGAGCTTTTCTTCCAACTCATTCCTCCCTGCCATTTGGGAATAGGTAATGATGGCTGCCCTTCTCCTAAGCAGAAGCTTGTTCATACAGCCATCTTGCATAGGACCAGTGCTATAGGGAGATCTTCCATTCCAGATCTTCCTTTAATGACCTAGAACTCAAGATGATACAGAAAGTGCATGTGATGTTTTCATCTTTTAGTCAATGTCTGTGTGTTCAGATTATGATGTACAAGTAAACTACTATATACTACTTCAATACAGAAGTATTTTCTCACTGTATGTGTTCAAGATTTATGAAGGAGTTCAAGTTGTTGACCCAGGCAAAGGACTCAGTCCTACACTGAGATCTGCGATTTTAGGTGAAGTTTAGTTATCCTTTGAATTGCTGGAAGCTTACTTGACGCTTCATCCTTCTCCATACCCTCCTATGAGAGTCCTGTTGCTGTTAAGGGAGCAGAGGAGATTGAGGTCCTTCTAGCAGATCACACATACACAGTGTAAGTAAGAATGTAGTGTTGCTTTGGGGTGCCTCTCTGACCTCAGGACATTGTACTGGCATTACCAGCAGCGAGCCTGAAGGAAACATGCCCAGAACTGGTACTGCTGCAAGGTACGGTCCCACAGCTGATGCTTGTTTGAAAGATTTCAAGACCCAGCACTGGGCAGCTCTGAGGAAATGAAAAATGTCTGGGGCCAGCCACAGTGTGCGCCAATTACCTCTCACAGTGTAACAGCATGGTTCTTTAAGATGCAAAGCTCACACATACATTTGCTTCCTTCCCAAATTAGGGAAGACCTCCTATAAGAGGGAAGTAAAATGACCCCATGTATATCCCATAAGTTGCACTCATAAGCATGTCCTTCATGGTTGTGTTTTGGGTCTCTAAATGTTCATGTAGGTTGTACAGCTCACAGGCCTTTCCAGCTGATAATTAATCTTGCACTTCATTTAATTTCAGTGTCAGAGACCCACAGCCAGGAGTGCAAAGTTTTTTGGTCTTTAAGAGCTCACTTCCTTTGCTTACTCCTATTCAGAGTAAAAAACTCTCATTTTCCAGCTGTATATGGGTGGATTATCTGGACTCCATTTGATGCAGCTACTCGTGGGCACTGTGCAGAAACCAAGTTCAGAGATGTTTGTTAGCAAGTGCCCCTTGAATAAGTTGTTACTGCTTACTGTTTCTGGAAGGAGTTTGCTGCCTTTGCGCTTTGCAAACTAGTAAGCTGTCTGGTGGTTGTGCATGTCCCCATTCTGCTCCTCTATGTGTGCCTTAGCACCCAGGCTGGCAGGGAGGGGTGCAGAAAAGTGTTATTTGAAGTACCCGCCAATAAAAAAGAAGGCCAACTGTATAAAAAAATCACCTCTGCAGCACTAAGACAGTAGACTATATGGTATTGTGAGACCAAATCCAACACTGTGCTACTGAAACATCAGCTATTTACTTTCTGTTCTCAAGTTATAAGTTTACAATCAGTTTCTGCTTAAAATTCAAAATTTCTTGGACTTCTGAAGATTGTTCTTTTTCTGTCTTTTTCCAACAGCCTCTTGAGCTTACACGAAAAATCCTCCGAGATAAGCAGAACAAGAAGAATTCTGGTCAGCCCATTCCAGTATTTCCATCCTGGGTATATGACAGACCTGCACTTATTGGCGATTTCTTAATTGGCACCAGCTTAAGCACTGACACAACGGTACCTATAGGTGTGTGATACACAGGGAAAATTGCGTTAATTTTTTATCTTTTGTACTTTTTCAAAAGCACTGTTCAGATTTCATCACACTCAGGATGAAAGCAAAACTTGGCTCTTTGGACACTGCAGATGAAGATCAATGTTCAAAAAACCCCCAAACCCTAAACTTACTTTGTTCGCAGTGTTTCTCCTGTGCTGAATCCCAGCCCCATTGTTGATCCACGGGATCTAATCTGTTTTGAGTTTCCTAATCCTTTTTCTCTCTTGAGTTGCAGCCCCCCTAAAATCCTACTGTGGGAGTATCTCATCTGTATTTTCAGCTGAAAAATCTGTACTTGCACCTGACAAAGGAGTATTCCTCAGTCCACCCAGCTCAAAATCCTCTCCAGTAAGACTGTAACAACCTCCCTGGTTTGCTGTGTCTCTGCTTACCAGAGCAGCTGGGAATTAATCTCTTCCCATTGTATTCTGGCTTTAGGCTGAGCTATATGTAGTTTCTAATTCATAAATTAGATTTAAGAATTTTTTTTGGAAGAGAAAAGCTGAGTTAGAGACTCATGTTTCCGTTCCACAGAACTTTGGAGACTCCTGCAAGAGAACTGTAGCTTCTTCCCGTTGTGGATTTGGGCTGCATCTGAGGAGGAGATATGAAGGAGGTGCACTTAAATAGCTTGTCCACTAGTGCATTTCTGCCAGACCTTTTGAGATGTGCTATGAGGGTATATTCCTAGCAAGCTCAGAACCATTTGTTCTCTCACATACAATCCTACAAATGGAGAGAGATTGTTGCCTTGTTTCATGAGATAAGCTTTCCTGTAGTTAGTGTTGTAGCCACTCTGTTCCCTGATCTGATGCACTTGATTATATTTTGGGTTGAGCTCTTCTTGCAGCTGGTTTGTAGTTGACCGTACCATTCAGAGACCCTACAGCTCACAGTTCACCTGCAGCTTTTGCTGGAGTAGTATTTCTTTGTGTCTGTATTTGAACTGTTTTCTTGATATTTGAATATTTCACTGGAGGGGAGGTAGGGGAAGCTGTTGACAAGTTTGGAGCTCCTCGGTTCCAGTATAATTGAGCCCTTTTGGTGGAAGGATCAGCAACACAAGCTGTGGGTGGTGTTCTCTTGGCCACAGATGTCAGATGTATAGCCCTGTCTGCTTGGTTTGCTTTGGATATAAATGAGCAAAGAATTCTGTTTTCTTGAAAAGAAAGGTAGATGATTTTGGAGTTGACCCTAACTCAGTTTCATTTCTCTATATCTTGTTTCTGCTTTGTGTGATCTTCCTTTGTTCTCTTTGAATGGTAGTATGTCTTCCTTTCAAGCTTCAGGTACCAGATTGAAATGATATGAAAGGATGATCAGGTACTACTATGGCATGTTCTGATTGTGTGGTTTTTTTGGGTCTTCTCTTTGAAAACAGGTACCTTGCCATTAGCCTCCCAAGAATCCATGATTGTGGAGGACTTGCTGTACATTCTGATTGGTGTGGATGGAAGATACATCACAGCACAGCCTCTTGTAGGCAAGCAGAACCGAGCATTTTCAGTCGATCCAAACTTGGACTTGTCCATCAAAGAACTGGTGACCAGGATTCTTCCTGTAGCATCAAGTTACTCTGCTGTCACCAGGTACCAAGTTGACTTGTGTCAGAGGAGGATGTTCTCCTGAGCATCAGGTTGTAGAAAAGAAGACCTGTCATTGTGCAGATGATAACTTTCAAGCTTAATTTAAACTTATGGGGATATAAAATAAGAATGACAATTTTTTTTAATTAGTTTTAGCTACATTTCTTTTTGCTCGGTTTCTTGTCTGTGCTGCCAGTTCACTTTTTTCATTCACCCCACCTTTGTCCAAACTTGGTCTTGGTAAATTCAGACAAAGTGCAAATAGGATATGTCTGCTTTTTCTGGCTTGTCTCTTCTCGCTCTGCTATGAATTTCTTCATGTTTCCTGCTTTTTGCTCTTCTCTGAGCATCCAGGACTGAGACAAACTTAGTGTGCTTCTGAGCAGGAGAACCTACTGCTGCCTAGTTTCTGGTAGCTACCTTAAGTAATTGTTAAAAAGTCTTGGTATAAAGTCTACCTCACTAACAGCAGATGTTTGTTATGTAGATGTCTGCATTTGGTTGAAAGTCCCTAAAAGATCAGAAAAGAGAAATAAGCATTTTTAGCATGTGATTCATCCAGTCTCTTTTACGTGTCTCCTTACAGACTTGTCTCTCTCCACTAACATGTATGGAGCCATCTAAATGTGGTCAGATGAATCCCTGCTGTGGCATGTGGTATCAGAAGCTAGCAGCAGTGCTTTCCACACATCGCACATGGCTTCCTTTTGAGATCTTTTTCTTGTCCTCTAATTTGTTGCTTATGCAAAGACAATCGCCTTGAAAATCCTGACTCTCACTTTTTCCATAGTGGTTTTGCAAATAATTCTAGTTCCGCTGCAATTTGAGAGGAAAAGTCTTGCCACAGCTTTCCATACTAGGACTTGTGGTGGTGGGAAATAAGCAGGGGGACACAGAGCAAATGTGGAACCTGAAACTCCGGCTGAAAACTGGTGTGCTTTCCACCATATGATCTACTCATGTGCTTATACAGTGTGCTGAAAATAAAATTCCTGAAAATGATAGAAGGTGCCTTGCCTGAAGGAGTTTTCATTTTGCTTTTTACAGATTTATAGAGGAGAAGTCTTCCTTCGAGTATGGGCAGGTAAATCATGCTCTGGCTGCTGCTATGCGGACTCTAATCAAGGAATACATGATACTAATTACCCAGCTGGAACATCTTCAGAGACAGGGACTTCTGTCACTGCAGAAACTCTGGTTTTATATCCAGCCCACAATGAGGACCTTGGAGATTCTTGCTTCACTTGGTAAGTTTCAAAGATAGAGTCATTACATTTAGGCAGGTGCATGACAGTGGCTTCTGAAAACCATACAGAGTAGCAATACAGGCAGGGCACATGTCGTTTTAATTTTATATTATATTACAGAAAAAAGGCAAGAGGAATGTACTTAGGCCAAATCGGCCAATGGTGGGATGACAGATGCTTTCCCCCCACTTCTCACTCCAAGAAGAAGAGGAGGGCAGATAAAGAGATTTACAAGTTTAGAAGGAACTAAACTACTTTAATGAAATATTAATAATAAAATAAAAAGGAAATAATTAAATAGATAAAATATATACAAAACTGTATCAATCTCCCAGGATGATATCACTGGCAGGGACTGGGGAAGTCCCAGACTGGACTCAGCAATGGATGGGAACTGGGTTCCAGCTCTGGAGTCAGGAACACACGGATGGGGATCAAAGGCAGGTGAACAGACAGAGTCCTCTTCAGATGTCAGCCATTGAAGGGAGAGTCTGACCCTTAGATCCCTCAGCTTTGACACTGAGCATGGGGCAGATGGGGTGGAATACCCTGTTGGTCAGGTTTGGGTCACCTCTCCTGTCCCCTTCTCCCTGCAGGGGGGACCCCTCTACGCTTTTCCATTTCTGACCCTCCAACGGGGAAAATAATGAAATTGTCTGATTTGGTTGTTACAGCAATAAGTCTAAGCAGGAGCCTCTCTGCACACCCTTCCTTGGCATTGACTATAAACATTGGTCTTATCATTCTGAGAATGAATGATTTTCTGCACAATATGCTGTTAATTTCAGAGAGTTAGAAGAGGCCTAGTTAAGTTGGTTCTGTTTTACCTCAAACCAGGACAGCTTGTCTGCTCTATTTTGAGAGCTCCTTCAGAGCTGTCATGAGGCAAGTCCATGCCTTTTGCCTTCACAATCCATGCCCTTCAGATCCATTGTTTCCACTACTGCTGTCTCTACTCAGCAACTCTTCCCAAATGCCTCTCCTCCTATGCGCGGTTGTGTAACCCCAAACTGACTCAATCAGAAGGAAACCCTGGAAGTTTCTAGTCCAGCCTCTTGTTCACAGCTATAGCAGGTTCCTCAGAGCCATGTCCAGGCAAGTCTGGACAATCCTCAGCAATGTAGATCCCCCACCATTCTGGGCCCTTTCCCATGACTTCACCACCCTTTTTGTGAGCATTTCTTTCTGTATCTCTAACAGGAATTTCCCTTCTTGTAACTTTTGCCCTTTTGATACTTTCACTGTGCTCGTCCAAGAAGAGTCTTGTACCATCTCCTCTAGAACCATCTGTTGTATAGTGAAGGAATGATGTTCAACAGCTCCCATCTTCATGTTCTCTTTTCTCAGCTGACGAGCCCAGCTCCCTGAGGCTCTCCTTGTACGCCTTGCGCACCGACTTATTAACCTCTGCTGGACTCTTCATTTCATACTGGGGACCTCAAAGTGAATCAGCTGGTTGTCCACCCAGGACTCCTAGTTGTTCTGTGCGGTGCTGCTCCTCAGCCAGCCAGTCCTAGCCTGTACCATTTCATGAGGTCATGAGGTGACCAACAGGTCACAGAAGCAGTTACTTCAGTAATTTTGGTTAAAGATTTTGGCCTGAGAATACATGTATATTTCTCTCTACTCAGCCCAGAGAATTTATCTGGACGTAAATACCTGTTCTATGTACAGTCTGGAATTGGATGATCCATCTTGGTATTCATGTTTCCTGCAATTTTCAGATTTTTGGAACACAGCAGTTAACCAACTATGTGAAGGTTTACTTCAGTCCAAAACTCACAACAGTCCTCTGTCCCTATGTCCCTTTTGCAATGGCAAAGTACAAATTTGTACAAATTTCACTATCAACCTGCCTAACTCCTGGTGTTTGAGCTATGTGCATGGTTACCTCAGTGTTAAGTTGAGAACAGAAGTGCTTTTGAGATCAGAGGTTTCTCAAGCAAGCCACTGCAGTGTGTGTTTCTTTCATTACCACCTGGAAAGTGGATCTCAATACATGGTCCCCTTGGTGTAGGAGGCCTTTGGTTCTAAGCCACCATCTACCTTGTATCTACCTGAGTCCAGTTCTCCTTCACTGGAGGGTTGGGTTTGGTTATTGCTCTTTTAGATTGTGGATCATCTGGGTTTCCGTTTCAGATGTAAGCTGTGTGGTGGAATGGCCTTGCATCTTCGCAGGAGGGGTCTATAACTGTTAACTTTATGACATTTAATAGCATAGTTTGTGCAATTAGTCTGTGTCAGCTTTGTGTCTTATATCTATATTTTTAAATTTTAGCTACTTCTGTGGATAAAGGTGAGTGTATGGGAGGATCAACCCTGAGTTTACTCCATGACAAGACTTTCAACTACACGGGGGACAGTCAGGCCCAGGAGCTGTGCCTGTATTTAACTAAGGCAGCCAGCGTGCCTTATTTTGAAATTCTGGAGAAGTGGATATATCGAGGCATCATTAATGATCCATACAGGTAAAGAACAGTTAAGGAATGAAAATGAAATGCAAAATTTAAGAAATACTGTTTGGGTCTTTGGCTTGTACTTTTCAGTGCACCCATTCATCTGCTAACTGAGTGCACAGCCTAGGGGCATCGATGCGGCAGCAGTAGGTACACAAGGCAGCATTGCAAGGAACGGGAGCTGCTGGAGCATGTTTAACTACTTTTCTTTTTTGATTCAGTGGTTATACAGTCACAGACACTCTCACTTGCTTTATTTTTCCAAATTCAAGGAAATAATATGCAAAAGTCAATAGCACAACAGTTCAAATATGCAGTCCACTCCAATTCCACCTCACCATGCCCGTCCCTCTGAGTGTTCTCCCCGCACATCCTCATCCTCTTCATGACAGGAGTGAGCCCTCTTCTTGTGGGCATGAGGGTGATAACTCAGAGAATCTGTGTTAAATGTAGTCCACTAATATGCTAATCTGATATAAGCTAACAACACTCTCTGAAGTTATTTGTCTTTTGTAGAATCATTGGAAGCATTTTGCTGTGGTTAATAGTTTATGCAGCATTTCTGTTTCCCATATTTGCAGAATCCTAAGGGGGGCAAAACTCAAGTTAAAATAGCTAAAATTAATGCCTTCCTGATGGTGAGAAGCCAGACAACAGCCAGCTTCCTCACCTCTACACTGGCAACCAAATAACGTTTAGACTTGGTTTGTGAACGCTATACTAGTCTGTCATAGTTACAGATTAGCAGAAACACTCTATAGAATGCTTCTCCTCTTACTACAAATGCAGACTAATTTCATTTCTTCATTGGAATTTCATGAGACCTTATTTCCGATAGACAGTATTACCAGTTTACAGGTCAAAAAAAGTAATGCTCATTGTACCACTTCCTGCTTCTAAACATCTGCTTTAACTTTTCAGTGAGTTCATGGTGGAGGAGCGTGAGCTGCAGAAGGAGAAGATTCAGGAGGACTATAATGACAAGTATTGGGATCAAAGGTATACTGTTGTTCAGCAACAGATACCCTCATTCTTGCAGAAAATGGCTGACAAAATACTAAGCACAGGTAGGTAAAGATACACTTCTCACATAAGAGGAGTCTTGAGACAAGCATTACTGTTCTTGGTGTAAGATAAAGCAGATGTCATTGTGCTTTGCCAGGTTATAGGGTTGTCCAGCTGAACTTCTCAGAGGAATAGAAGAGTCAGATTGAAAAAGAACCCCAAATCCTATAAATAAAACAACATGTGGGAAGGAGTCCAGCAGGAAGGGGAGCTGTCTGTCTTACTGCTCTGTTTCATGGGTACATTTTTCTAGCAGCTAGCCAGATGGAGCTAGACAACCAAGATCTGAGCATGCTGAGTTTTAATTTGGGTGTTTAAATGAAGCATGCAACCTGATGATTACCATTGTTCTCTTCCATAAGTACAAAACCCGCCAAAAGCTACTTTTGAAGTGCAGCACCAGATCTTCAAAGTTTCTGACTATCTGCAGAGATGTTTTGCAATCACTGGGAAACAAAACCATTTCTAAATCTTTCCTTAAACAAAATTCTGCCTAATTAAAGTTCTGTATCATCTTTTGAAAGGTGTCTAAATCCTTTCCAGCTTTTAGTAGAAGTTAGTGTAAACATTTCACAGCATATCTTCCACTTGAAGGCAGTGGTCTGAAAGTTTCCCTATGGGATGTACCATAGGTATAATTATGGGTCCTTCTTTCTTTTTGCTTCTAGGGAAATACTTAAATGTTGTGCGAGAATGTGGACGTGATGTTACCTGCCCTGTGGCTAAAGAGGTCATCTATACGTTAAAAGAGCGAGCATATGTGGAACAAATAGAAAAAGCATATAACTATGCAAGCAAAGTTCTTCTGGATTTCCTAATGGAGGAGAAAGGGCTGGTGGCTCACCTAAGGTTTGATTTCTTTTACTGAAGAAAAGAATGTTAAATAGATTGGTTCTGATAGTGAACACATGTTTTTGAAGTTAGCTCTCTTTTCTTGATGTGTGTTAATGTATTCTCTCTATTTCCATTAGAAAGATTGACCTAAAAAACAAGATTTAGGAATTTTCTTGAAGAAAAACAAAAGTAGAAAATCATAGAAATGTTGGGTGGGAAGGATGTCTGGGGGTCTCTAGTCCAAATTCCTTGTAAGACTGTTGCCAAACCTAGGTCAGGGCAGCTGTGGCTTTGTTTAGCCCAGTGCCAAACGCAACCCTCAGGTATGGACATCCCCCACCTCTCCCATGACTTGTTCCATGCCTGCATGTCACTCCCACCTGGGAAGGGATTTTCCTAATATGGCCTGGTATGATCGAGGAGAGTTTCATGTGAACAAGAAATAGTTTGATATTAAGCATCACACCAAATATATGCCATGGTTATTTTTCATGCGAACATAGGTAGTTGGAATAGAGTGTGTTAGACCCAAGTTCCAGTACAGGGTTTTTCTTAACATTTTCCTTTTTTTAAAGTTAATTTTAATAATCTATATTTTGATTCTTGTAACACATTCAGCCAGTAGCAAATGCAAGTGCATTCTAGCATGTGAACGCCATCTTTCTTGTGTGAATCAAGCTTTTAGTTTATTACTATCTTCAGAAAACACTAAAAACAGGAATCTTAACTCTCCAGAAGACCAAGACAGCAACAAATAGGTAGGAAATTGCAGTTGATCGCTGGTTGTAAGGTAGTTTGTAATTGGTGTGAGACTTGGTACTAGCAGTTGTGCTTCAAACCAGTGCCACAGTGTGAAAGAAAGTGATCTGAGCTTCATGGGACAAACCTGCCAAGTGACTTGCACGAGATGATGTCCCATTGGGAGACATAACCTGGAGCAGTAATGGCAAGTGAAGTGAATATGCCTAGCAGGCCAGGTGGGGTTGCTTTGGGCCTGTTTTTGACTAGGTCTGAAAAAGTTGTAGCCACAACAAAGGTGTCTTCTCCAGACCTGGGAACTACGGCTCCAGTTGTGAGAGGCTGTGGGAAAAGCTGAAGATCCATGCTTCATTCCTTTGAAACTGATACATGCCTTCCTGCTCTGTGAAAACCACCAGAGAACATGCCTTGTTTCATGAAAGGTTATGAGACCTGTCTAAAACCTGCCAGTCATTAAGGAAATTCTTCCTAGCCTTGCTAAAGACTGTCATCCTTCTAAGCCTTCTTTGCTTAATAGGACTGTTCAAAAGACACTGACTTCCAAAGTTCTGGTGGCACACATCCTCCGTTGGGCCTGTCTGTCACCATGTAGTTTCAGATTGAGGTGTTGCTCAGCCTCTGCAGCTGGGGTTGATGTCCGTGATGTCCTCATCTTTGAGACAGTCTCTCTGCTAGATCATTCAGCAGCTGTCCTGTGTGTATGTAATCTGCTGGGTGCAAGTGGAAGAGCAGCTGGTTGAGGAGGAAGCTACTGAGTTTCCAGCATGTGTGTGTACTTTGAGGGCTGAAGTGGGATGGTTGTGATCAAGCCCTAGGGACTTGTGACAGATAACCACTTCTCAGTTAAGCAGTAGTACTGACTCTGTCTCCCAGAGAGCGTGTGTTGGTCTCTCCCGGAAATGTTGGTTGGAAGGAACCAACATCCTTGGCAGATCTCTAGTTCAACCTTCTGCTTGAAGTGGGATTGTCAACAGCATTAGGACAGGTTTTTATTTGGGTTTGCGCTCTAGCATGTGTCGGCAGTAGGTATCTCACCCCTCAATCTGTTGTGTCTTCTAATTAACCACTGACACTATCATGGCTTCCTCATAATGGGAGTTTTCTTGGTTCAAGAGAGTAATATGACAGTCAGGGAAAAGAAGGGCTGAGCATTGTCCTAGATGGACAGTGATCAGGAGTCTGCAACCACATTGTGTTAAGGCTGTGCTGGTCCTATTTTACTCTGAAGACTGCAGTTATCATGTGTGATTTTTGGCCAGGCACTAAGTTAATCCTCAAACTCTCCTCTGAGCTGTTTCCAAGCTCCTGGCCCAATGAAGTTAAAGCTCATGCATATTACTATAGCAGAAGGCAACACGAATACCAGGAGTACTTAAATCAGCACAGATACTTGGTCATTCAAAGGAGTGCAAGATTCTGCTCTGAATTGCCAACTGCCTCTTGGGTGAATCTGCACATTGTGGAGGTTGGAGTGTTTGTCAGGACAGTGATGTGAGCCTTTGCCCAGCAATGTAGTGTATTCGGGTTTTTTCCTAAGGTACATTTTTCAAGGAAAAAAAGAACAGCAGCAGCCCTGATCTGACTTCACAAAAGCATGCAGACTGAGGTGGCAGGGAGAAGGGGACATGCATGAAGGACTAGTCTCCAAATGGGTTATTTATAGCTCTGTGTTCTCTGTGAAGAGGAACATTTTGTGATCAAATCGAGCAGGCTGTGTGAATTGATTGCTTTTGTTCCTTTAGGTTTAATATGGATTAACTTGGGCTTTAAAAAACATAATCAATTGTCTGCTTTCTTGAGCAGATCTATAAAACACTATTTCCTGATGGATCAGGGGGACTTTTTTGTTCACTTCATGGATCTCACAGAAGAGGAACTTAAGAAGCCTGTAGACGACATCATAACAACAAGGCTAGAGGCTCTGCTTGAATTAGCTCTGCGAATGAGCACAGCCAACACAGATCCTTTCAAGGATGATTTAAAGGTAAGAATGTATGTAAGCAGAAGATAATAGAATTTGAGAAGAAGGCCTGCCATGATTTGGAAAGATTAGTGGGCCTGAAAGAACTTGCTGAATGTACAATGAAGGAAAAGAGAATTGATGGCTTTCTTTCTGTAGACCTTCTTTGGGTTAACTCCTTTTTCATCCAGATTAACAACTGGAAGCGCCCACCCTGGCCAAGGGGCTGTGTTTTCCTGCTGGAGTTGGAACATGGAGAAGGTGCTTTTGGGTGACCTCAGGATGAGGTGGAAACAGTAGTGTGTCTCTCATGCTTATTGTCAGCTTGAGTGTTCGCTTTGGAGTACAAGAAAATACCTGATGAGAAGTCCTCCCCATTAGTGATTGCATATTTTACAGATGTGAGACAGCACAGAGGCTCTGCCTTGGGAGTGTGAGATCTGACTAGACCTTGCAGAGGATGAGGGCAAGGCAGAGTGATGAGCAGAGTCATATGTTGTATGCTGATTGTTGAACAGTACAGCAACACAGCTCTGGTGTCTGCTGCTGTGTTGTCCAGATCGTACCGTTCACTATTGCTTCCTAAGTTGATCTGATGGCTTGAGAGCAACTCTGACAATTTGGACTTCTGCCACACGGCTGTTGCTGTGCAGTAGTCATGAGCATCCTGTAGCTTCATTTTTTTCCTGCTCTTCCTTTATAGATTGACTTGATGCCCCATGACCTCATTACACAGCTCTTGAGAGTATTGGCCATAGAAACAAAACAGGAGAAGGCCATTATCAGTGCAGATCCCACAGAACTCACTCTCAGCGGTCTCGAAGCATTTTCCTTTGACTACATTGTTAAGTGGCCTCTGTCCCTTATTATAAACAGGTAAAGTATCAATCCACTGAAGGTAAAAAAGGCAGAAGCTTTTGCATGGGGTTGAAGCACATTTCCACACAGCAAAATAGTGGAAAACCTGTGTGTTAAAAGTAACGTTATAAGTTGCTGACTAGTGGGGAATGCTTTGGAGTTGCTTGCTTTGCTTGTAGACTGGAATATGGATTGTCTCTTCAGTAGATCCCTACTAGACTGTGCCTATGGCATGCTTGGAAAGTCAAACTTTCATTTTAAGTGGTGGGGATACATAGATCAAAGGATGGTTTCTCAGCCTGGTCCCTTGTTTTACCTGTGACTGGTCACTTAGTTTTCATTTATCCATGGCTTTCTGAAGTATCTCCCCTGAGAACGTGAACTCTCACAAGAGGGTTTTCATGCAAGAATCAAACATTTCTTCAGTGTGGAGAGCAGAAAAAAAAAGTGCTTTCTGATATCCCCAGTTGCAAACTGGAAGGATGCAGGCTGTTGCTAGAATTACTATAGCAAGCTATTTTGCATTTAATTGAGTTATGAGGGACTGAGTGGTTTATTTTTCTGCAGTGATTTGTCCCGTTTCCCTGGAGAAACACTAGCAGACCTGGTACTGTGAGCCAGGGCAAATGGGATAAGAAGCATTACAAAAACGGGGTGACATGTGGAATTGTCAACTGCCAACAATTAGTTTGTCCCTTAATGTCCCCTTTAAAGAGTCAGTTGACACAGTGGGAATTTTTTAATGATGTGATGCTTTTGCATTTATGTGTCTTTCTTTCAAACTGAGTGCATTAGCTCTGCTGGTAACTATGGAAGTGAAAATACTACTTGGTAAGGCTTCACAAACTGTGTCGACTGGAGCTCTGTAGACACCTACACTGAATGCCGACCTGAATCCAGTCCCTGAAGCTATAAATAAGCATTTCCATCTGCTTCTGACAGTGCATTGCTTGCAGAGGAATGCTGCCTGTAGCTTGGTTACAGCTTTCTCTTCATCTTTTTGAAGAATCTTGATGAATTGTTTTGGTGATCAGAGCAGTCTTATTGCAATGGATACATGACCACAGACTTTCAGCCCTCCGTCCTGGCACATGTGTGAGTGACCTTTCTGCAGATGGCTTAAAGGAATTGAAGAAGGAGGCTGCAGGAAGTATGGAGGAGGGACACCTTGGAGAGAAATTCTATAGGATAGTTACAAATAATAGTTTTTTTCTTTGGTTCAAATTATTTCAGTGTGGATCTGTGTGCATCTGAAGGTGTAAGGAACATTTTGGGTAAAGTCTCTTTGCCTTTGAGCAGCTTCAGCCTTTGCAGCTTAGTCTGTCAATCAGAACAGAGTTTAATCTGGATGGCTTTCTCCTTTCTTTCTAGGAAAGCACTGACAAGATACCAGATGCTTTTCAGACACATGTTCTATTGCAAACATGTGGAAAGACAGTTGTGCAACGTTTGGATCAGCAATAAAACAGCCAAGCAATTCTCCCTGCATTCAGCTAAGTGGTATGGCCTCTTTTTCTGCTGGATTGGATGGGAAGGTTTCATTTTCATTCTTGCTTCTTAGATATGTCATGACATGGATCGAATCATTTTGCCTTGAAAAAGACCTTTACAAATTTCTTACAGACTGAGAGAGGTCAAAATATAACATTTTAGGTTTCAGTAGGAAGTGTCTGTGCAATGATCTCCATACTGCTTGGCTTGTTCCACTTTGCTGGCATGAAGTTTTGAAAAGGAAGAGATGATCTTTAGGGTTAGCTTGTTCTACACTGAACAGTTGCAGCAGAGGACATCTGTGCGCATGTCATCTTGGTCGTGACTTTAGCCTCAGCAAGATTAGTAAGGACCCCAGTAGTTTAAAAACAGCATCCTGTTCTGGCCAGACCACTAGGAAGGACTCGTGACCTCCACGCAGGCTGGATAATGTTTGGCGTTTTGTATTTGGTACAAATTGAAATTAGGTAAAAATGGTGGGGTGTTTTCCCAGGAAATCATTGTATCTTGTTCTGTCTGTGAGGGTAGATTTTAATCTTTGGATCTGCACGCCAGGTGCCTGTTTGGAGAGCAAGGCAGACCCCAGCAATGCGAGGCAGTACCCTCTGCCTTGCCCAGTGGCACTTTCTTGTCACAAGGTCATCTTGGGCGCATTGGCGCTGCCCTCAGCCAACCTGACTGTAGCTCTGCTTCTCCTGTAATTGTGGAGGTGTTAGCAGAAGAGACCTATGAGGGTCTCTGGTTCAGCCTCCAACTCAGAGGGCAACTGTGATCAGCAGGGGACAGGGCTGCTGTGGTTGAAAACCTCTAGGGTCGGTGTCCCCCACCTCTCTGATGACCTGTCCCAGTTTGCTGAAGTCAGTTCTTAGTTTGCCATCACAGAGCCTACATTGAAAGAACCTCTATACAATCCCACTATTCTATTTTAAGGTTAAATAGCATTAAATACTATAGGTAGCAGGTGATTAAATATTTGGATCCCCTGAACTTATTGATGCAAGGCATAGAATATTTTTAAGTGTTCATTTAACAAGTAAGGCTGGAAAGAAACATGAACCATTCATCTTGTAAAATTTTGCCCTCCTAACAAATGTGTGTCTCACTAATTGCTTTAATATTTAATATTAACATTTTAGTTGAATGTAATCAAATATTCAAAGTAATTGTCCAGTCTGTAACAGGTTCAAAACTCTGACTTTAGCAATTGAGGGAATGCCATTTGAGTATGTGGAAAATAATCAGAGATGGTTTGCATTAACTTTATAATCCCTCTCACACTGCAGCAGTGAATTTGCTAGAACAGGAATATTTAGCTCTGCTTGACTGTGGAAGCCTGGTGATAGTTCCCCATGGCATTTCCTAGCTCTAAGTTGTGTGGGTGTGATTTCTCCCCTAGGTTTGCTGGTGCTTTCACACTGCGGCAGCGGATGCTGAATTTTGTACAAAATATCCAGTATTACATGATGTTTGAAGTGATGGAGCCTACGTGGCACATTCTTGAGAAGAACCTGAAATTGGTGAGTGTGTGTGCTTGAGAAAAGCTGGAACGGAAGTCTTAAATTAACAAATTTAATGTAGGGGAAAAATGCCCCATTTCAGTTGCTGCAGGTGTCTGTTAATTTTGTTGGAGGCTCTTAAGCTTCTTGAAACATGCCCTAGATCATATCTGAGAGGTCACTATCAGAGGCAGGATGCTGGGTTAGAGCTTTGGTCTGGTGCAGCACAGCAGTCCTGGTTTGGTTTTTCATTATTGTACTATCTTGTCACAGGCATCTAATATTGACGATGTCCTGAGCCACCACACAAGCTTCCTGGATAACTGCTTGAAGGACTGCATGCTAACCAACCCAGAACTGCTGAAGATCTTCTCCAAGCTGATGTCTGTCTGTGTCATGTTCACAAACTGCATGCAGGTATGTTCAGCCTCCCCATATTGACCATGTCACTGCTGGTTGCTTTGGGTGCCAGCCAGCTATGACAGTCCCTTTTTTCAACTCGACCCCTCTTGTCCTCAATGCACGTGGAAAAGCCTCTGTTCCTCATGCCAGGAGGCTCTACAGCTTGACCGCTCAGCCTCTCATCGTTTCTACCAAATGGTTTCTGTGGCTTCTCCCTCCACAAAATTCTCTATGCTCTTGTCTTTTCAGTATTGGGATCAGGTTCACATGAAACAAGTTACTTCAGCCAGTCCTGCAGCAGAATTTGAGGTGTAAGTTGTAGGGCTCTATAGTTCTTAGCATGGTCTTTTGAGGGTCAGGTGAGGACTGGTGATTGGACCCATGGAGACTGATCTCCATGGGCACAGTTCAGCCATTCAGGGAGCCCGTAGCTTTCAAACAAAACACACCTTCCTCTGCATTTAGGGAGCTTTGTGTATCGACACTGTAAATTTTATCTCGGAGTTAGGTTTCATAGGAGTTAGCTAGCTGCAGAGCTAGCAGAACTGAGTCAGCTTCATGCTTTGCCATAGTTGAAAAAATGGGATCTAACCACTTCCCCAAATCTCTGCCCTTCCAAGAGGTTCACCCAGAGCATGAAGCTGGATAATGAGATGGACCGGCTTACCTTAGAGCATGGCACAATGTTGGGCCCGCCAACAGGGGAGGAGCGTGCTGAAGAGACTGCAAAGAAGCAGCTGACTAACAAGGTGAGTGAGACACAGGATGGACAGCTGGGCCCTGTACTCTGTGAATGCTGCCCGGGTTGCCATCTGGTTAGGGTGGCTGTCCTACTGCTCGTAGATAAGCCTTCCTAGTTTCTAGTACACCTCTGGCCCCAAAAGCAGTATCGTTGTGGAATTATAGGCATTTTTTGAGGGCAGTTTGGAGTGCTGATTGTGTTCTCCAAGTCTGCTCAGAAGACCCTGTCTCCCACAGCAGTCCCTGCACTTGTTTTTAAGTTCTTGGTTGTATTTTCAGCTGTGCAGTGGGTACCCACAGACTGGCTTCCTGCAACTCAAGAACTTTTTTATTTCCAGAACTAGCATTTTGTGATGAATGAACCAGTAAACTGTTGGGTGTGACTTTGCAGCCCATCCCTTTCATATCTGGGGTATTTGTCTTGTGCACATTCCTCTGTCTGAATGCATGCATACTATGCGATTTGTTTGGCGCGCTCTGTGGTTAGCAGGCTGCCTCCTGTCCCACTGAAAGTCCCTCTGGCACACAGCTGGTAGGGTCTGTCACACTGCAAGTGCAATCAGAATGCTCCAGTTGCAACCTGTCTTAGGAAACACTCACTTTCTGCTTATTGGCTTTTCCTCCTGCTTGAAAATAAATAACAACAGCATATATTTGAGGATAACTCCACTGGGATCTATGCTGGGGTGCTCCCAGATAGGTATGGCAAGGTTTTTAACCACCATGGGCCTTGCAGCTGTGTTGAAGGATTTATTTTAGTGGCTGAGCGTCTGTTAGGTTTTATGGCAGTATTTTTGATCAGGTTAGGAAATAAGTTTGCATCGCTTTGGCAAGTGTGAATCAGGAGATACGTGGGCCCACTATGCCTTTGTCTTGATAGCTTTTAGCAGAGCATGCTGACAACCTCCACCTGACATCTGGCTTCGAAGCCACAATCAGCAAGTTTGACAGCAATTTCTCTACACATCTGCTGGACCTGTTGGACAAACTGAGCATTTACAGCACCAATGACTGTGAGCACAGCATGCTCAACATCATCTACAGGTGAGCCAGTAGTTTCTCTTTGTAACTTCCCATCCTGTGGTTCTCAAATTGAGCTCAGCAAGAATAATTGCTATTTATAATTGTGGCTGTCTGCCCCATCAATGAAAACACTGAAATCACAAGAAATATTGCTTTGCATTTCAACCCAAGGCTTTAAAAAAAACACACATTCTTTTGAATTATGTGAACTTTGTCTGTTAATGTTGTAAATGTAATGCAAGTGTTGTTTTTTGGGGGATTGTCTCACTGTGTAGACAGTGACTAAGCTGATTCCTGAATACAGTGTAAGTATTCCAAGATGAGAAAACCGTGCAAGGGATTGATCATAAGGGGCTATTTTGTTTTAAGTTCACATCTTGTATTTATTTAAATAAACATCCCTTAATATGTTTTTATTGTGGCCTCACCCATACTTACTAGCTTCTTAGAAAACAAAGTTGCTCCAGTAATACCTAGAAGTCAGGTACACAAGATACACTGCAGGAAGAGAGGGCTAGAGAAAAGGAGATCTAAGTTTTTCTGGTAGGTAACCTCTGTATTCCTTTTTAAATAAAATGAGAGGCACAAGGCCTTCTTCGGAATGATTAACATTTGGTTTTGCTGTAAGAGTCATACATTTTAGTGTTGCTGGGCTTTTTAAGATCCATGTTATAGATTGGTGTAGCATGGAGGGACCTGCCCTGGTATTTCTAGATTTGAAGAACCACAGATCATGCTCTAGGAGCACTACCCTGAGTTGAACGCTTGTGCTGTGGAAGCAGAATGCTTCTCTGATTCTGCTACTAGGGCTTTAGGAGCAAAACAGAAATAACTTCAACTATGGACTTTGTTACTGTGAGCAGCTGTTAGTGTTTGTGGCTGGAATATGTTTTCAAGAGTTAAACACCCATGAAACCTAGCAGCCTGCAGATTGGAAATGTTCAGCTGAGGCATGCATATAACCACAGAATAAGAAGGCAAGTTAGGGTCAGGAGTTGACACTTCTTAATTCAAAGAGTCACCTTGGTGGAAGTCATATGTAAGAGCTGCTGGTCACCAGCTGCCTCGCATCTGGGGAAGACTGTTACACTTCAGAAATGCTGCTTGCGGGCTGTTAGGCACATACAAAAAACTATTAGTTTTTACAGTGACACTTTTTCCAGTGAAGAGGCAGGATATATGTTGCATCTAGGCATAATTTTAAGAGGCTAGGTTTTTCATGAAAATAAAATATTTCAACACTGACTTTTTAAAGTGCTTTTTATATGTTTGTAAGCTAATAGACACATTTGTAATGTTATGGTGAGTGTAAGCCTGGAACATTTGAGACTTGCCTTTTTTGTTGTTGCTTTCAGCTGGGGAAAGAAAACAAAGCCATCCTAAACAGCCATTAGTTTCTTCATGCTGTCTGTAAGCTGGTGTGCAGCCTTATTTTCATCTCTAAGCAGTTGTTAACAGCTCTTACAGGACTAGCTAGAAATGAAGATCATTTTTAGGTGCTGACTATTTCATCTTTTTCTGAGGAAAGCCCTTGGTTTACCAAGGAGTTCTTCTTGCTTTTACGAATACTTTTAATCTAAAATTGTAATGGTTTTCAATGGTACATATGCTAGAATCACTTGTCAGTGATACGTAATTTTGTTCATAAATGTGCCAGATAACTGATTAATCACATACGTTTTCTTTTTCCTCTTGATGTTTATGGCGATTTGTGCATCAAGCCCTTTGATATTTAGTACAGAACAGAATAGATCCTTATTTAGTTCTTTTTAACCACATGGGACTAAAAGGTACTTTGATCTTTCTCCTAACTCTGCTTTGTCCTCTGTTTTGTTTTATTTAAGCATAGTCTTATTGCTCCTCTGCTTTGTTTGGTCATCAGGACTGTCATCACTATCAAGTCCCCAGTTTGGACTGTCTTTTCTTCAACTGAAATGCTGCATGTTAACAGGCCGTGCAACAGAACATGTCTTTCCGTTTCTACAGGCTGCTCAATAATGTTTTAATTAAAGAGTGGAAATCCCACAATGAATGCCCAGACCTGACATTTAGCTCTCACTTGGTCTGTAGAAATTATTGGATGGAGTCCTGGACTCTGTGGCAACAGGAACCCAAGAACCAGAGCAAAGATGGTTGCCATCTGAAATAAATAACATATTTGACAGGGAGACAGAAGAGCTTATAAGACATACCAGTCTTTTCTTATAAATGATAGCCTTTTTGTATGACTGCTCTTCAAGGGTGGTAGTCAACATGTAAGTTAGATAAAAAAATATCCCTTTTATTCATAATTCTGGTACTATGGTTTTATCTGTTTGATCCTAGTTAATATTTATTCAGTTTGCAGTACTGAGTAACTGAGGCACCATATTTGTAGCACCAAACACCAGAAGACAGAGACCAGGAGGGTCTCCTTCAAAGCAGGAGCATGTAACTCACAGATCTTCAATGTGCTGGTGTCCTGCTCGGGTGCCTTAACTCCATCAGTAGCAGCACTGACAGAGGGTTGGCAACTGCAGAACATCTCCAGAGTCACTCCTTCACATCTCAGTGGTGAAAAGGAGAAGAATTACAGCATAGAGGACTTTGTCAGAAGGATTACTTAATTCCATATGCTTAGAAATCTTACTTATCAAGTGTTATTAGAATTCATCAGATATCCTTCCTTTACCAGTTTGGAGGAAACAACAGTTTGGAGGAAACAAACAGGAAAAAACAGCTTAGAGCAAAACCAGTAGGACTTATAAAGTGATGAAAACGCCAGTGAATGAAAGTTCCAGCCACAAAACAAGAAACTGAAGTGTAAGCAGAGTTTGAGGAAGCACCATGCAAATTCTTAAGAGATAGCTATCAGAGATCATTTAATTCTGAAAACATAGCTGAAACGGAAGCAAATAAAAATCTGCTATTCAAAAAAGTTTGGAATAAAGCAATTTTAGAAATGGAAGGGTATAAATGAGTTCTGGCCTTATATTTGGTAAATATGCTTGCCTCAGGGTCAGATTTCCTTTGTACAACACTTGAAGCGTGAAAGAGATGTGAGCTTTTCAACCAGGAGAGAGCAACAGATAAATTCCATCTGTCGGGGCTCTGTTTTCCAGTCACCCAAAAATGTCAAGGAACAATTTGTTGCCATTTGTGCAAGGTTGTTAAGCAACATGAAACTCAAATATTGTATCCATTCATTTAGTATTGGAGAAACTTAATTTGAGAAATGAAGAGAGTAACTTTTGTGTGATTGGTGGACTTGTATCAACTGTTGCTTAGTGTTCCCAGGGCACAGATTTTTAAGAGCTGCACGTCTCAGTTGGCTTTACAGCACAGAGAGCTGCCTAAGGTCATAGCAGGGGTGGATTTGGCATTGTTTTGGATTATCAGGGAGTGACGGTTATGGTATTGCTGATATCACCTGCTTTGGAGAGGTGTTTACAAGAATCAGCAACACTTGGAATTTTGACTGAGCATCTTCCAGCTGGTTACTCAACTTCCTGAATGTTGAATCTGTTTGAAGCTTACTTGTGTTAACAAGGAGGTGGTGGTAATGGAACTGGCAATGTTTCGTGGTAGTCATGGTGGATAATATGGTGGATTTCATGTAGGGATGAATACTGGAGTTGAGTGGTAGTGAACTCTGGTATTAAGGAGTGGTGGGAGTGGCCGGGAAGGTGTGGAGACTAAGGAGCCCTCACCCCTGGCGCCTTGTCCCTGAGTGATACATGTGGTCAAGCTGTGACTCTGGAGAGGTCCTTCCCAATGTGTTTTATACACCTGTAAAGAACAAGCAAAATTTAGCCTGTTGTCAGGAGATGAGCACAGAAGAGGTGTCACTGACAACTCCTGTGGTGCAGTGCAGATGTCCCAGTCTTGCTGTGTCCACCCAGCCCAGAGCAGTCCTGTGGGGGGATGTCAGGTTTGAAGCTCGCTGTGCTGTGGCCTGATTCAGCTGGTGCCCTGGGAGATGTTTCTCCTCCAGGGCCCGTGGTTGGGGAAGAGAAAGGCTGCCTTCAGCAGGGTGGGCACGTGGAGTGCGGCTGCTTGAGAGGTCCCTGCTTCTTCCCACGGTGAGACTTGTTTTGCTTTTGCATCACACCCCCTCATTTCAACCAATTTTCTCCTAAAATTTGTCTGATCCTATGAAAGACTTCATGCATTTTTGGATCATGCTGCCTTTGAGCACCTTGACAAGCACATGCGCTGTGGCACTTACAGAGCCGAGCTCTCAGGGGACCCTTGGTAAGTGTGTTCAGCGTGCTGTGTGCTGCTCTCAGGCACCGTTGGGCTGATGGGCTGCTGCAGCTGCTGTGTTTTCTGTCTCTCTCAGGTTGGACTTTAACGGGTTCTACACCGAGCGCTTGGAGCACATGTCTGCCGAGCGCAGCCAGAAGGCAGCTCCCCCGCTTCCCCGCCTGGCCGTGCCTGCCCAGTGAAGTCCTGCTGCTGCGCCTTACCACCAGCACCTCTGCTGCACGAGCTGAGAACCAGACACTCATTCCCTTCGAGCTAAGAGTACCCGACCCTTTGCATTCACAGTGTGAGCTGGAAACGAACCAGAAGGGTTGGCCCAGAGAGATGGGGGGAATGGTCGCTCTCCTGAAACTTATGTAATAGATTTTCTCTTCTGAGAGGCTTTTGTTAAGTCTTTTTTTTTTTTTTTTTACTACATTGTAAAATTATGTATTTGTGTGTTGTAAAATAAATTTAAAAAAATAATCAGGGCTTATTTCATCTGTTAACAGAACTCGGGATGCAGGATGCAAATTAATTCTTTAAGTGACTAAATTTTGGTCAGCTCACAGAGATCTGGCTCAGCTGCCATGCAGCATTATTTTGTGGGGGAGACCTTAATTGGGGGGGGGGAGGGGGGCGTTGCTGGGATGAAGCTGATCAGCTGCTCTAACTGATGAGATGGGCTTTGCAACTGATGAGCAGGAACACGATGTCCATATCACATTGGCCAAGCCCTCAGCAGAGGATTTCTAGGCTGTCTTGCAGGGTTGTGCAGCCATAAAAATTGCTTGAGCCAGTTTGGAAATAGTTGCGGTAGGGACTGGATGTGTCACAAGTGGTGACCAAGGTATGTGCCAGAGACACCAGTGGTGTCAGTGGCAAGTGAAACTGGGGAGACGTGCAAGGGCTGTGGATACAGGGCTGAGTGCTCCTGTTAATGACCTGGTCTTCCTCTCCCTCACCTCCTCCTTTGCAAAGACCTTCTAGAAGGTTCTTTGTTAGAGGGAAGAGCCAGATTCTCCTTTGCTTTGTTGCCTGAAAACTGGTCCTCCAGCTTGGCAGGGGGAGGGAGACACCAGGAGAGGATGAAGACCGCCAGTCCTGGCTCTGGGGGACTGAATTTCTTCATCTGAGTGTTGAGGTTGAGGACTGAGACCTCATCTGGCTCTTCAGGGAAAGGATTTGTGCAGTTCACGGGGACGGGAAAGTTTTGTGTTCCTGCCACTGAGGTGGCTTCTCAGTCCTGGGAGGCTTGGAGAAGTTGACCTGTTCCATTAAGTTTCTGTGGACCTACAGACTTCACTATAGCCTGTCCCACAAGATCCAGATGGAACCTCAAGATCAGGTCCCTGGAGGAACCTGCTCCCCTCTCAGTGCCCAAGATCTCAGGCTTGCGAAACTGCCCTGGAACCTTGCTGTGTTGGTGTCATGCATTTTTTACACCGATGAACAGCGTTAGTGGCTGTTTCCAGACACCCTACAGCCAGTCCCAAGCAGTAGGTGTTTCTGCGTCTTTTCCCCTCACCAGAAGCCAGGAGGTGCCAGGAGAGGAGCAAGAAAAATTCCTGTGTCAGAACCCTGTGTCTGAGCAGCGCTTGGGTACCTCCTTGCCCCGAGTCGTGATTTGGCTGGTCTGTGTCTCCCCAGCAAGCTGGGTTATTTGCCATTCTCATAGACTGTGGGTTGGTCCATAGCTCTGTCATGGACAGACAGCTCAGCTCCGTACACCTTGCAAGGGTTAGTGTCGCGGTGGGGACAACTCTACTAGAAATATTTAGATAGTCAGAGACAGACAGGACTAGGAGTGTTGAAGGTGAAAGCCTGGACCTTTATTGTTTTTTTTTTAATAAACTTGTCTATTTGTCTATTTGTCTATTTAGGAGGGAATTACAAAAAAAAGAAAAAAAAAGCTGCAGGGAGAAAGAGGGAAGACCCTGGAACAGCGCTTGGCTACGGTGGTTTCTGTGCCATGTTGGAGGAAGCTTGTACTCGGTGATAGCGCTCTGCGACAGGCAAACTTGGCATCAGTCCTCTCTTTCGATAAAAGCAGCGTTTCTTGGGCTCAAAGAGTTGTGACCAGACAGGGTGTGAGAGAGCCTCATCCAGGCTCCCTTCCCCACCACAGGTCAGACCAGGTGATCTTCAGAGGTCCTTTCCAACCTGGGTTGGTCTGTGGACAAGGGCGAGATGGCAGCTCTGGGGCAGAGCTCAGGGTGCAGTGCACCTCCCAGCTCAGCCCTGCATGGTGATCCCAGCCTCCTCCAATCCTTTGGGACCAGAGAGGGTCCCGAGTGCCCCACTGATATGCACTGATGTCCCACAGCTCCCCCCAGGCTCCCTGACAGTTCAGCTCCTCATGGTGACCCCAGCCCCTCCATCATCTCGGTGCTCTATCATTGCCCTACCAACATCTCCCACTGCTTCCCCAGTCCTCCTGTTGCCCTCTGGTAGTCCAGTCACCCTCAGCTCCTGTGTCACCTCAGGGCCATCCCAGAAACCCCATTCATGGCCCATGGACACCTCCCCCAGTGCCCCACAGGAGACTACCAGCCCTGCTACCTCCTGTGGGAGCCCAGCCACCTCAGCCCCTCCACCACCTCAGAGCCAGGCAGGGCTTCCCAGTGATCCCACACCACCTTTGCTGCCCTAATGTCACCCCCCCATGCCCTGCAGACCTGCGCAGTGCCCCGGGACATGCCCCCAGAGGCTGTGAGCCCACCCTGATGCCCCGTGGAGTCTCCTCGAAGCTACACAGACAGCTGTAAATGCCACTCAGACTGTGCCGTCCCTGTCCCTGTCCTCCCCACCACCCCCCATGCCACGTGCGCACCATCTGGTACCCACAAGCCGTCTCCAGTGCCCCACAGACCCTCCCCAATGCCCCACGGACCATCCCCAATGGTTCACAGACACCCCCTGACAGTCTGCAATGCCCCACGGACCCTCTCTGGTGCCACATGGACCCTCCCCTCATTCTCCACGGACCCTCCCCAGTGGCTCAGGGAAACCCCCCAGTGCTCCGCGGACAGTCCCCAAGGCTCTGTGGACCCTCCCCAGTGCCTGACAGACACCAGACGATGCCCCATGGACAGTCCCCAACGCCCCACAGACCCTCCCCAGTGGCTCACGGACACCCCCAGTGCTCCGTGGCTAGTACCCCACGCCCCACGG